CCTCCCCGGGCAGTGGCGCGCGGCCGCGGGGCGGAATCTGGGTCAGCCGCGGGCTGGGGGGACCTTCCGCGGTCAGTCTGGGGGGCAGTGAGCGGGCGTGGGGAAGGGACGTGGGGCGGACTCCCCTCTTTCCCCGCGAAGGGAGGAGGACCCCGGCTTTCACACGGCGAAGGAACGCCATTCGGTGTGTGGTGGCGTAGCGGCCGCAACTCCGAACCGGATCCTGGAGACGGTGTCGCCCAACTCAACAGATGGGTCGTAGTAGCTCTGTGCCGTCAAGGGGGGCTCGGCGAAACCCGAGGATGCGCTCCGGTCCCGTCGCCTCAGTTAAAGAGACGGCTGGGGAGGGGCCACGTGAGGCGGGGTCGTCAGCTTTCGGGGGGCGGGCGGGAGGTGTTCCCGCCTCCTCGGCGCGGGCGCCCCTCGGCCTCACGCAGCCCTGCCCGCCCCGGGCGGAGGCGCGGGGGGAACGCGGCCTGGCAGGGGACCCCTTTTTCCGTGGGGGGTCCGCGCACGGTGTGGGGTTTCCCGCGGCCCGCGAGGAGCCGTGGACTCCAGGTTTCCCCGCAGAGTGTCAAGAGCCTTGCCAGCGCGCGGCCCCTGACATGCTCCAAGCCCTAGAATTGGGATACGCCTGTGCACCTAGAGGATGAGTAGGGTTCTGGCCGTTGGGCCACTGCGTGCCGAGTGGGAACTGAGATATTTTTATACTTTTTTTCGGTCTTTCCCTGAAATTGGTAGGGGGCGGGGAGGAGGAAACAGTCGCCGCTCTCAGGGTCATTCCAGAGAGAACCTGAAGTTTTCTACCATGGACCCTTTAGGGGCTTCAGGGAAAAGCAAAATCAAGCTCAGAAGCTGTCTTTCAGAAGCGCACTTTCAGAATGTTTTTTTATGTCTAGACTTGGAAAAGTGGATTTGCCTCCCACCCCCCATTCTTTTCCAGAGTCATTTCCTTGCTGCGTTGCCAGTTTTGGGGAATGCAGGAGAGAGTGCTTTTTTGCAGACTCTTCCTCTGCTGTGGTGTACTAACGGTCTCTTAACATCTGTAAAGCTCTTTACAAAGCACTTTTCATGTTTGTTATTTACTTTACTCTTGTATTGTTCTAGAATCCAAATTAGCAAACGAAGTCTCAGAGCAGTGAAGTGATTTGCTTAAGTGGCAGAAGTGGTTTTCTGACACCAGATCTAGTAGCCCTCCCACCCCTCAGCTAGACTGGGCACAGCTCTGCCACATGCTAACTGTGACCCTAGGCCAACCGTCCTTATCCTCTCTGGGCCTTGGTTTCCTCATCTCTGAGTGGGCGATCAGGATGCTTCCTCTGCTGACTGAGATAATTATGTCAAAGTCATATTCAAATAGGCAAGGTGGCGTTACGTGTTGCTAATTTTTAGCCCTTAGAATACCTCAAACATTCTTGCATTGGGGACATAGACCAGGGTCTCCTGCCACCTCACGTCCATTCGGCCCTCACCAGGAAGCTTTGTCCCTATAACTTTGACCTAATAGGGCATCCAGCCCTCCTTTCCCCTCCAAGAATGGAGAGAAGTCCACAAAATGCTAGCAGGATGATAGGGAGAAATAACATTTTGTCAAGGATGTAATGGTCTGGCTGATACTGTTTGGCCTCATTATTAGAACAAATAACACACAAAAGCTGGGCTGTTGCAGAAGGGTAACAAGGTTGTTGTTTTTTGAAGTTTGATGGCATTTATTACCTAAAGATGAGGGAGGTGAAAACTGAACGAATGAATAATACTCTTTCCTCTCTTCTCCCTGCTGTTAGAGCAGCTTACTTGAATCCTTTCCCAGTAGCCCAGGTGTCCCCTCGCTGCGCAAATATAGGCCCTGATGTTGAGGGTTGTTCTCAAACACTGATAGGGTCAGAAGCAGGTTTTACCGTGGGACCTTTTTCAAAGTTTTAGGGGTTTGAAGCAGATGGTGAACTTCTTGGTTGAAGTTTAAATTTAAAAAGTTGACTCTAGTGATGACTTCGGACAGGTTTTTTTTTTTTTTTTTGATTTTTTGAGAAGTGAAAAGGGTCTGTGTAAGGGGATTGGTGGTAAGGGGATTCACATTTCTAGAGTGTCAGGACCCAGGTCAATGGCTAACGAGACTGCAAACTAAATAAAGTGTCACTGATGTGTCTCCTCTTACAGGTGACAGAGTTAGTCCTTGATAATTGCCGGTGTGTCAATGGGGAAATTGAGGGCCTGAATGATACTTTTAAAGAACTAGAGTCTCTCAGTATGGCTGATGTGGAACTAAGTTCACTGGCCAGACTTCCCAGCTTAAACAAACTTCGAAAGGTAAGTTGGCTGTAGGTGTGAAAGCATCCTGGACTGTTTGGTCTAGTTTTGGCTAAATGAAACAACTGTCTGCCAACAGATGAGAAGTTTCTAAGTTTCTAGAGATAAAAGCATTATATAGGATTTTGGAATCAGCTCTAGTATTGCTTTTACAAATTTAAATTTAATAGTGGAATCTCTTTATGACACGGATTTGGATTTAGCATCTACCAAAGGTTTTTCTCTGAAGCATAAAATCCAAACGTAAGACAACTGGAACCAAACCTGGGTTGGGAGCCCATTCTGCAGGGATTCTGGTGTATTATTTGGGGGATCTAGGTGGGAATTGAGAAGTTAACGACCTGTAGCATCAGTCGCTTGAAGCCAGAGAGAAGAATGACAGTTGTTTGTGTCTTTAAATTGTTATGTTTTCTTTGACCCATCCGAAGCCTTCACCATTCTTTGTTTTCTCCGCGTGTTGAATATGTAGTTAGAACTTAGTAACAACAGTATTTCCGGAGGCTTGGAAGTCCTGGCGGAGAAATGTCCAAATCTTACCTACCTCAATCTGAGTGGAAACAAAATCAAAGATCTCAGTACAGTAGAAGCTCTGGTAAGTGGGAAAGGTTTTGTTTCTGGATTTGCTTGTTTTGGTTGAAATTTCTGAGATATGTTGTATTTTCTCTGATTAATTTCTGTTTAACTCTTGAAACATCTGAATTTCTGTATATGTTGTGATCTAGCCAGTTGCTGTGTTCTTTTCCTTTCAGATAAAACATCCAGATAAATTTTCAATCAGGGAGAAAGTTATCATCAACTTCAGGAGATGAATATCTGTTTTTTAAGTTTCAATTATTTTCTTAACTTCTATTCCTTTTCCCTCCTTCTCACTTATTTTTTGTTATTACTTGTTCCCTGGTATAAGGGAAGGAAAAGGAAATAAAGTGAAATTGTGAAAATTATTGCTCTGATTTTTATAAAAAAGGGTGGGAGGAGGTTGGAAATAAACTTGTCTGTGGATTGAAAGTAACCGTAATATTCTCATTGCCTCTTTATGCATAAATTCACATGGCAAAAATGTATTGAGCGTTCACTATAAGTGAGGCACTAAGCCAGGTGCTGGAGATACAACAGTGAACAAACAAAGTTCCTACTCTTGTGGAGTTTCCATGCCAGGGGCTGTGCTTGATATAATAATTCCTCCTCATAAAATTCTACAAATCCAAAAATTATCCTCTTGATTTCCAATATATATTTTCTGGTTCAGGAATTTAAAAAATAACATGATATTTTATGTCTAAAATGTACGTTTTAACTTTACTTTTACAGCAAAATCTGAAAAATTTGAAAAGTCTTGACTTGTTTAACTGTGAGATCACAAACCTGGAAGATTATAGAGAAAGTATTTTTGAGCTGCTGCAGCAAATTACGTACTTGGATGGATTTGATCAGGAGGATAACGAAGCGCCTGACGCATCTGACGAGGAGGATGACGATGGTAATCACTCGTAACACTCATGAATGTGTCATAACTGTAGCCTCCACTCTAGCCACGCAGATTGATTGGACCTCGAGGTTTAGGTGTGAAAAAAAAAATAAACAAGATGCTAGTAAGACAAGAAAAATTAAAAAACCCACAGCACTTGTCCTGTGTTTCTTCTGTCAGACTTCTGAGTGTATCAGGGAATTTAATAATAATTATAATACCAAACTCCATGAATTTTTACATTCATATACTCTCATGTAACCATCACACAGTAAAAGTGGTAACTTTTAATAAAGTGCTTTTAAAAAAGAGCCATGGCAGCGTTATTCATGATAGCCAAAAAGTGGAAACAATTCAGATTAGTGGATAAACAAATGGGATATATCCACAAAATGGAATATTACATGGAATGTTATTCAGCCATAAAAGGGAGTCAAGTAATGATATTTGCTGAACATGTCTAAACTTTGAAAACATTTTTTCTGAGTGAAAGAAGCCAGACACAAAAGGACAGATATTGTATGATTTCTTATTTTTATCCGATGTGCAAAATAGGCCACTTCATAGGAACAGAAGGTAGACCAGTGGTTGCTGGGGGCTGGCAGAGGGGAAAGGAAGACAGCTAATAGGTGTGCAGTTTCTGGGGGGATGAGAAGTGTTCTGGAATTAGACAGTGAACGTCCACTTCTTGATAAATAGATGACTAACAGATCAGATGACAAAATAACTGTTACTAAAAAAATTCAAAGAGAATGACTTCAAATTTTGTAATGGGGCACTGCTTGTTACTGTTGGCTGAAAAGTTTTTTACTGTAAAAAATTTGATGGATCAACAGTATATAAAACGATGGAATGATGGACAAGCAGGTTTTGAAGTACAAAGTAAAAGGAACTTGACAGCGTAGAATATTCTGATGAAAACCTACACGTTGGAAAAATATCGGTGTCTAGAAACCGCATTTCTCAAGTCGTAAATATGAACATCATAAAAGGGAAATTTTTAACGACAGTCACTCTGAGATACTTTCTACCTATCAGCATAAGAGTTTGAAGTGATTGGGGCAAGGGTAAAGGATCTACATACCGGCAAAAACATTCACCCGACCATTTGCTCATCTTTTAAAATATTTTTAAAGATGGAGACGAAGATGATGAGGATGAAGAAGATGAAGCTGGTCCGCCTGAAGGATATGAGGAGGAGGAGGAGGACGACGACGAGGAGGACGAGGAGGAGGACGATGAAGCAGGCTCAGAACTTGGAGAGGGTGAAGAGGAAGTGGGCCTCTCATACTTGATGAAAGAAGAAATCCAGGTGAATAGACCCTGTTTATCTCCACTGAAAATCTGAGAATTGTTACTTAGGTGTGCATGTGTTTGTCTGCCTGTCTTTCCCCACCCCACACTGTATCCAAATAATCATAAACACTTATTGATTTTTCCCTCTTGAATATTTTTTAAATCCATTCTGCCCTCAGTGGCATGGTGTGGTGGAAACATTTTGCAAAGATTTCTCAGCCTCAGTTTCCATATTTCTAAAATTGAGATTATAATACCAACCTCAGGATTGTTGTAAGGATTTAATAATAACCATTTACATTCAATTTAAATATATGTAAAGTAGTTCAAGAAAACTTAAGTTTCTTCCCTCGATCTATCTCTTCTTCTTTTGTGGTAGCCTCATAAGTGGGCTCTCTGAATTCAGGCATCACCGCTAGGTGTACTCTGAGCAAGGTCACCTGGGTCATCAGCAGCAGCCAGCTTGGGACACTTTAATGTTTCCCTGTCGCCACCAAGATCTTCGGCGAGGCAGACAAGGCCTTTCTTTATGTGTCTGCTGTTCTGGCCTAGCCTCATCTCCCTTAATACCAGATTAAATTGTTGCCTGTCACGCCGAGCTATTCTTGCATTTCTCACTCCATCTGAAATGATTTTCTACCCACTCAGTCGGATGAGCTTTATTCTCTTTCTTTTAATTGAGGTAAGCATAAATACAGCGAAGCGTGTAAAGTGCACTAATTTTACGTACAGCTTCGTTAATTTTACGTATGTATACACTCGTGTAACCACCACCGAATCGTGCTAGTAAACTCTTATTTATCTTTAAAAACTCAGACTCTGGAGTTGCCTCATTATTAAAGCTGTCTGTGATTTAGGGGATCAGTCTTTCCCCTGTTACCTTTGAGCCTTGATGAGGCTTCTGTTGGCTGAAGGCACTGTGTTTATTTGGCCGCCTCCTACTGTGTGGGCAAGAGCAATCCCTCTTTGTATCTCAGCGTCTAGTACACTGCCTGGCACAGCGGGCTTTCGGGAAATCAGTGGACTTGAACAAATGATCGTTAGCCCCTGGGAGTTTAGATAAGGTGTTTTCTCCTAATGTTAAATTATTGAGTTTTAGAACTTAGTGTTTCTATGATTAAAAATATCTCTTATTTAGACTAGAAATTATTAGTATTTTTGTGTGTTCATTGAATGACTTTTACATTGGTTGGAAAGATAGTATCATTGATCGACGATAATTTTTCTCGGCTGCTGTAGGAAACTAGTGTAGGAAAAAAAAGGGCTTCTACTCGTTTGGGGTCTTAGTGAGGCCGGCGCCAGATCAGAAGGAAGAGGGGACTTGAAATATTCACTGAGAAGGTCAGCTTGTTGAGTTACACCAACGTACAACTTGAATGTACCTCCTCTAAGGTTTTCATTTACTAAAATAATGGATTCCTGTTCTTTGGCGTTCAGTGTTTTGTTTTTTCTGCCAGCCATTCTTCCTTGAGTTTAAGAAGTATTCACTAATTTAAAAATGATTTTTCGCTAACTGCAGATGTTTAGGTTTATCATTCCATTGAGTATTGGGACATATTAGCTAAAACTGACATTGTCAAATATAGGGCAAGAATTTCCAGGATAATACGTACAACATTTAAGTCAGCGGAGGGGTCAGCAGGGACCAGGAGAAGTTTTGATTCATAATGGGATGATTTGGGTGATGAAAGTGGAGTCTTGTTTTTAGAAGCTAAGTGCCAGGAGAAGCTTCAGAGACTATTGGTGTGGAAAAGGAGAGGAAAAGGAAATAGAGATCATAGTCGGTAGCTGTTTTTTGTTTGAGGCTTTTTATTTCTTCCTATTTCAGCTGCTCTTCATAGACAAGGAATTAATACGTATAAAGTACAGTATATTTCATTAAAAATGAAGACGGACGTTTTAGAAGAACTGGGAATTATGGCATTCTTGTAGTACTCAAAGGTCCCTAGGGGGCACAGATGGTGTGTACTCGGTCGCTAATCTAAAGGTTGGTGGTTCGAACCCACCCAGCAATGCCATGGAAGAAAGGCCTAGCAGTCTGCTTCCGTGAAGATCACAGCCAAGAAAACCCGCTGGAGCGGTTCTACTCTGCAACATATAGGATCACTATGAGTCAAATCAACTCAACAGCAACGGGTTTTGTAATACTCATGGCACAAATGGGGAAAGGTTTTATGTCTGACTAATAAGAAAAAGAGCGTAGTCTTTGCTAAACACTCTGGTGGAAGCTGAATTTTTATTGATAGTATTGTTTAATGGATGATTAGGGAAAAAAAAGAAAAAAACGTGAATCAATTAATCTAATCCTGTTTTGGTTAAAACAACATCCAGAGAAATTACTAGCTTTTTAGATCTGGGCTTTCATAAACTTCAAGGAATAAGCACGATTAGTATCTCAAATTAAAAAAAAAAATTAAATATCCTCTTTTATTATTCCTTGCAGATAGGAGAAGTTTAAAATACGTGTCCCTCTCTCTTTCTCTCTTTTCTTCCCTCCCTCCCTCCCTCCCTTTCCTTCACTCTTCTCTCCTCACCCTCTTCTCTTCCTTTCTTTTCTTCAGTTTAAGGCTGCTGGTTCTCCTGCTCTTTATTGTGGCTTCTTTTTATACTATTTGCAATCACATCGATTCCTTTTGCTCCTTGTAAGTTGCTGGTGTCGGGTGTGGAGGTGCTTTATGTGTTTGAATTGACTACATAAGAATGAGTTTTGATGTAACAATCTTTCTTCTCAGGGGATTATGGCTAATGCTGGAAAATTAGGTTCTGTTTAATATTTCTAGATACAAATGGGGCTATAGAGACCATGAAAAGAGTGGATTGTCCACATTTTCCCTGACTACCCAGTATGGTTCTTGATGTTCACGATTGGTTGCATCATTTTTGAGAAGCAGTAAACGTTTGTGGGCTGGAGACTCTAGATTGGTTCAGTTTTCAAACATATCTGGAACTCAGCCGTTTGGAACATAGCCAAGAACAAGGCAGTTAAGTGTAAAGGGCTTCTGAGAAGCCAAAATATAAATGATAAAAGACATTTTATTCGTAGGAGAGTATCCAAGCAGTTATTCTAAACCTATTTTCTCTTTTATGTTCAATTATCTGATACGTTCATTGATCTATTTTCTGATTCCATAGCAGATTAAAATTGGAATAGTAACTGACTACAAAAGAGAAGGCATAAAAACTAGGAAAAGACACAACTCAAAGTAAAGGTCAGGGTCGTTTTCAAAAGGAGACAACCATCCTACAGATGTGAATAGGTTCTGAGAGAATCAGCGTGTACTGATATGATACAATGTTCATGATCAAAATGGTGACCATGGTATGCAAGAAAAAGGTCAGCATAAAACAGTAGACGAGTGTAGTGCATTTGAGAGATGTGTATTCCAATTGGCTAGAGTCAGTTTTTTAAATAAAGTTATGACGCGTGAAGGCCGTACTTAAATATTAGCTCTCCGGAACCACTCATCCCACAAGAGTTATAGCTCAAGTTCTGTTGTAGTTTTTATTAACCTTCGCTATTCTGATGTGTCGCTTTTTAGATGTGGAAGGAACTTATAAATCTTTTAGACTAATACTCCTTTTATTGATAGGAAATGAGGTCCAGAGAGATAAAACGACTTTTTCAACACAGAACTGTTTTGGAGCTAGGGTTCAGGTAATTTCTCCCTCGATGTACAAAGTGAAGAGCCTGTTTCTGAAATAGTCTGAAGTTGCTCTGTCCACTGTGATAGCCACTGGTTCTTCAGTGGTACTGGTCATGTTGCAGATACTCAGTAGCCACCTGTGGCTGGAGGTTAAATGCATTGGACAGCACAGATAGAGAGCGTTTCCATCATGGTAGAAGGTTATCTTGGACAGTGCTGATTGAAAGCATAACTTATTTTTATGAACTCAGGATTTAGTTGGGTTTTAAGAAGGACTTAGGTAAGTTCGGCAGGGATCCTCAGAACACAGAGTGACTGTAAGTCTCTTTGCTGTTGCTGGGGTGTGTTACCTGCCAAGCAGTGAAAAATCCACGTCACAGCTTATTTATTCTCAAACTGAATATTTGAATTTCAAGGATGAAGATGATGATGATGACTATGTTGAAGAAGGAGAGGAAGAGGCAGAAGAGGGTGAGTTACATTAGTCATTTTAAAAAGCCTAAAATTAAAGTCTAGCTATTATTCATGGACTTTAAAAGAATGATTCTATAATCCAATTATTATTATAACTTAAAGTGTGGTATGTTTCGTAGTGTGCCTTGAAAGGTAGAAAACCTTTTTTAAAGAGTAAATTTCTCAGATAATTCATGAATTCCATTCAAAAAATTAAACCGCTTGTAACATTTATTTTTAAAATGGGAATGAAAGATGATGGAACCCTAAGCTCAGTTTCTCATTTTTTTAGAGTGTTTCCTTTAGGAGAGGATGAGGCTTTGCCCGTAAGAGAAGAGCAGCTGACCCCACATGGCGCCTGGGTTAGATTTGCCCTCTGGGGACTCTTCCTGCCTAGGTCTTTCTAACTAATTTTTAGAATTTACTAACACTTCTGTTGAGTCTAACCCTTAGTTTCTTGATCCGTACTTCATAATTTGGCCACAAGGGTGCACAGAAAGCCGTCAGTATTGATGGATTTCTAGGTCTGTTGAGTCTGTTCAATATATTGAAATTGAAAGAAGCTCAGAGAGGAAACGTAATCTACAGTTTTCTTATGCCATTACCTTTTCACTAATACAGATTCAAAACTTTGTGACTTAACACATGGTCTTTTGTTAGAATTAAGTATTCGACAACACTCCTTCTGCTGCTCTTTCAGAGGAGGAAGGTCTTCGAGGGGAGAAGAGGAAACGAGACGCTGACGATGATGGAGAAGACTAGATGGTTCTGAGAGCAGATTTCCTAATTCTCGTGGGCCGGCGACAGTGCCGGCGCCGGCTGCGTTTCCTCATGTACGATAGCTGTCCGAAAATAACGTGTAGCTTTTTACAGAAAAAGTGTGGTTTTACTATTTTTGCCTTTTTATCATTCCAAGTAAGATTAGTCTGTTAATGCTCATATTGTACGTAGAGAAAAATCTCATGGACCCCTCCCCCAATTTGTGAAACTCCCTAGAAATTTATTTGGAATCTTAATTTTTCTAATTCAGGCTCACTGCATTAGTCATTTTTAGCCCCTAATTAAAACGTGATAGCTTTTACACAGCTATAGTATAGTGCATTTCATTCATAAGGTTTTAAAGTTATTTATAAACTAACGAAATCACAGTTGGCTGTGATACGAAATGACAGTAGTCTCTTGAATGATGAGTTGGTTATTTTTTTAGAGATGACCCAGAGATCTTTGGTTTGAAGGCAGTGACATTTTTTTTGCTTTGGATATTTGGGCGCTTCTTTGTCACAAGAGTTACCTGGAAAGTAGAAGTAGAATAGTAAAGGCTGTATCCAGCAATAGAGTTCATGGAGTTTGTGGAGACTTCTAAACCTCTTTAAGCCAGGTGGCTGGTAAGATTTTATTTTTGAAGGAAAAATTGCTTCTAGTAAGTTCAGAGCCATGCGGGTGAACGCTTTCTTCTTCGGGCTGCAGATCCTAACATGCGAGAGGTCGTTTGTTTTTAGGTAATGTGTTCTTTTTCCTCCCAGCAATTCCTTTAGGATCGCCTCTCTTTCTCGTTTCCCTCCCCTCCCTCTGTGTCAAAAAAAAAAAGTTGGCTATCCAGGAAAACCTTTAGTCTTATACCTCAACCACCTTTTCAGACCTGAGTAGGTTTTAAACAAGCTAAGTAAGAGAAATTGAGTATTTTCTCAGCTACAAATGTTATCATCCTTGTAGTCTTGTGCAACGGCCTCTGCATACTATAAATCTCTTTTGGTTGACAACATGTACAGACGATACTAGTAGATAAAGAAAAGAAGCAAGGGAGGCTTTGGGAAGCGGCCTTATTGTTTCTCAAAAGTCAGAACAATTGCCTGTTGATAATTAATGAGACATTCAAGTCAGTATTTTTAAGTTGGCCTCCCAAATGATTTGGATACCACTGTACAAAATATTTTTAGTTTTCCTGAATAGAACCTTTTTTCTTCCCATAGTAACAAAGGATTATTAGATATTACGACATTTGATTGGGGTCTACTAGGCAGTTGGCAAAATATTTGGAACTTAAAATTAAGATTTGTTTTCAAATAGATGGCCATTAAAAGTAGAAAAATATTTGGGATAAGTGTGAGTGTGCCTGTATGCCTTTCCTTGTATGGCTACTAAAAAATATAATGAGCAGACAAGTGTATATCCCTTTTTATCATGGAGGCTCTTGCTTTTTTAATCTTGGCTATCTAAATTTCCTTCTCTTTTGAATATTTGCAAAATGTTTTAAAGTTAATGTCAGCAAATTAATTGACATTACTCTTCCATACTGGGACACACTTAAATTACTTAGTACTTCTTTAGTTTAAAATGTATGAGTTTTGAGTTTTAAAGTAAAAATTATGAAGTTATTTGTAGAGAAACTAAAAAGTCACACAACTGACTGAAATGAAATCTTGGGATCAGTTTAGTGGGGGGATTGGAATCCCCGAAAGACTAACATTTTACCGCTTTTTAATAACGGAAATGCCCTGTTTTAGTCCCTGGGAATTCTCAGCACATAGTATGCCAGGTTATAAATTAGTTATTTTTAAAATTAAATCTATATATTGACTTTCTTATCAATCATCTTACTGTGCAATCAAAAGTAGAGTTCTTTGGTTTGAAAACAACACTTAGAGCCTCCAGATAACTTTTAAAACTTATTTAGCTTTGTGGGTGGTATTTTCATGCAAATAAGTAAGGGTGGGTTTTATATTTTGTAGCAGTTTTTGGTCCTATTTTAATGCTCTTTGTATGGCAGTATGTATATAGTGTGTTCCTCAAGAATCTCTCTTTAAAAAACTTTGAAGTTAATACTTTTGTGCACCTGTGTTTTAAATAAAGCCATGACAGTGTTCAAACAAACAAACAATGCAGTACTCCCGGTCATTCTTCTATTGTTTCTGACTGTTCCTTGTTTTTTCTGTGACTACTGTAACTTAAAGTTTTTGAAACTGAATTGCTTCAAATAAATTGAAGATTTGTTATAATGATTAGTTTCAGTGTATGACATTCACTTTTTCAACACCATTGGGGGCTTTGAAAGTCTTTTTAAAAACAGAATCAGTTTGAAAGTGAACTTACTCAAATGCTTGGATGTGATATGAGGCATTATGGTTTAACAGCTTAACTTTGTCATCTGCCTTATTTTTTCAAAGAAGCAGAAAAAATTCTGGATTCACTTAATTTTCCTTCTGGAATTGCAAACTGAGCCAGTACTGTTTGTATTTTGATTGGAAGTGATAACTTTACTACCTATGGTTGAAGTAACTATTACCTAAGGAAGCATTGGTGGGTCAGTGGTAGAATTCTCACCTTCCATGCAGGAGACCCAGGTTCGATTCCCAGCCAATGCACCTCACGCACAGCTACCACCTGTTTGTCAGCGGAAGCTTGCGTGTTGCTATGATGCTGGAGAGGTTTCAGTGGATCTTCCAGACTAAGACAAGGAAGAAAGGCTTGGAGATCTACTATTGAAAATCAGCCAGTGAAAACCCTATGGATCACAACGGTGATCCATAACCAGCTGGGCAATATTTTGTTCCATTATACACGGGGTTGCCATAAGTTGGGCTGACTCGATGACAGTTAACATAATTAACAAAAGTGATTACAAAACTTGTACACCTATAATTTTCTAAAATAGTCCGAAGTCTCTATAGTTTACAATGTTATCTTCAGAATCTTTTCGTAATATACATACAAATATACATAATTCTTTCATGCGTACCTTGAGTTAAGCTAACTTGAGCCAAATAATTTTTTGCTCTTTTTTGATTTTTTTGTGATAAGTGATTTTTTCAAATGTTTACTTTGTTGACAATTCTGGAACATCTATTTTTATAAAGTCAAGGCACACATAAGTAATGTTTTCATGATTGATTTATGGTTTAATATTGAAAAAGTTAATTATAGAACTCTGCTTTCTGAAAGATGGAAGATATTGAAGTACATTTCAACTACAAGTACTGCTTATTGAAAACAGTATGGTCTTTTTTTGTTCTGTGTCTTTAAAGAATTAAAAACTTTTCCCCTCTTGGTGAAAAAAAATGGTAGAACCATGCTAAAAGTTTTTGGTGGAGGTATTAAGCTATGAAGCAATTCAGTGAGAGATTGTGAGTCAAAACATTTTAAGTATCATATATCCCTTGTCCTGTATTTTAAAAAGAGGCTTTGGAACATGTGACATTTATCTTCCAGTTGCTGAAAGTTTCCCCTCTGCTGTTCTTAGTACTGGATGCAATGATCTTCTGCAGCTGTGGCTTAAGGATTGCATTCTTCTACTGCATGCCTTTTTCATGTACTGATTAGTCTCAGCTTTTGAAAATCTGGCCGGTGTCCTTCGGCCTGAGGCAGCTACTGGTGTTATTAGGCTATTGGAACAGCTCTACCTTGAATGAGAACAGGTTATACCACCAAGTGGAAATTATGAAATGAGTTGATCTCCAGGAGAATCTTTAAAAAGACTTTATGTCCTGCTAAAATACTTTCATTTCACACAAATCTAGCCGATTTTTGGGTAGTAAGACCCTGAAGCAGGTGGTTTAATAGGAGGGTCAGAAGCAGGTATGACTTTTTCAATTTTATGAACGGTATTTGCAAAGAACTTAAATTTTTGTTAAGGCACCATTTGGGCCTGGTCACCTGTAAAATGGACACATTCCCATTAGTGGTCATTATGGACACAGGCCACCGAATAGGCACAGGACACAAGTTATAAAAATCCATCCTGGCTGTTGAAAACTCCGACAACCTAAACAAGTCCCTATTTTCTCCGACTCTCCTGGTAGGTAACTCTGTGCCGTCTTGACAATGAAGGCGGCCGGGATTTCTGCTCTCCTCTTTGCTTGTGACTTGTCCTGGAGAGGCTTACTCCACAGGCCAAGGATTAGCTCAGAAGCTACTGGGTTTCTCCAGTCTTGGCATTTTCTCCCAGCGTCCACTTCTGGAATCCAGCGACAGTGTGCTCTATGAAGTTCAAGTTCATTTAGGCAGATAGCTGTGACTGAGGAATACTGGGGTCCATAGAAGATTCTGAAAGTGTAATGGAAGGAAATGTAGTTGAAGCAGCCCCAGAGGAAACGAGCATCTCCAAAGAAAACAATTAGCATTTCACTGAAGCTCAGCCTTGAAATCACCGTTAAGTCCAGCACAAGTCCAGCGCTGTTTTTTAGCTGTGCCCCCTCTGTTTTCTGAGAATATCCTGAGTTAAGAACAAACCCTCTTCTACAGTGTTGAGGATTTATTATTTGTAGGGAATTTTATCTTTCTGAATAGGATTCCCAGTGAGGGGTGCGGTGGAGGTGGGGGTCATATTTTTAGCAAGCCATCTATATTGGGGTATGTGGAGGGAATTGTTAAAAACTTTTAACATGTTTGGCATTTCATCCATTTTCACTATTGATGTCTCACTGCCAAGCTTCCTGCGCTACAGCAGTGCATCGAGGATTAGAATGTCCCTCATGCATTTTGCTTTTGCCCCATTCCCTTCTCCTTTCAAGGACTCCAGCTTTAAAATTTTCTTTAAAAACCAACCACATCATGCAGGTGATTGTATCCCAGCATCACACCAGATTCTTGATAGGAGAGTTGAATAAACAGATCAAGAGATTTTGTCACATAAAGTCGGCTTAATGCTGATTTAAACTGAAATAAATCGAACTTTTAGAGTATATTTTTGAGGTAAATTATCTAGCAGTCCTAGGGGACGCTTGCCTCTTTAAATTTTTACCTTAATTCCCCCACTCTTCGGCTACTGATATAAAGGTTTGTTCTTTTTACAGTAGTTTTTTTTTTTCCCCAAATCGGGTCCTGGTGGCGCAGTGGTTAAGAGCTCCCAGTTCGAATCCACCGGCCACTCCTGGAAACCCTAGGGGGCAGTTCTACTCTGCGTCGGAACGGACTCTACGGCGACACGTTTTGTTTGTTTGTTTGTTTTTTTCTTGTTTTTACATCAGAGCGCCCTCCAGTGATCCTGAAATCTCAAACAGCAGGAACGGATTTGAGCGTTTTGCGTAAAGCGCAACAGAATGTGCAATAAGAAATGCTACTCTAGTCAAGGAGAAACATAAATTTAAAAAGCGCTAATTACTCTACAGTGTGCCCTTAATGGGATTCGCGAAATGCACAGCACAACCCCCGCCGAACCAGACCGTTAGGTTCAAACGCAGAGCAGAAAAACCCGGACCTGACAGAGACGCCAGGTCCCAGACCTCCCCGGGGCCTTCTCAATTGCTCTCCGGGGCGTTTCCCGGAAGGTCTCGGATTGGTCCACAAGTGCCGCATGTCCGGTCACGTGGTCTCACCCCGCCCCGCCCCCCACACGCCAAGGCCTCCCGCACCCACGACACCGTTCCATCGATATGCGCACGCGCGGGACTAGAGTTGAAGTCGCGCGGGCACAGAGGTTCCAACGGTCTCTTCCCTCCTCCTCCCGGGCGGGTCCGGCCGACGCGGGGGGCGGGTCCGGCCGACGCGGGGGGCGGGTCCGGCCGACGCGGGGGGCGGGTCCGGCCGACGCGGGGGGCGGGTCCGGCCGACGCGGGGGGCGACTCGTGCGTCTGTCAGGGCCCTTCCGGTCCTCTGTTCCCTCTGCCCTGTTACAACTCTTCGCAACGATTAACAGAGCTGCTGTTTTCTTTTTAATTTCCAATATTATTCTAAATCCCACACTCACGGATAACTTCAGAGGCTCCGCAGCTGTGAACGGCGGTGCTGTGCGCGTTTTCCAGCTCTTTTTAAGTGGAAGTGAGGGCTGGTTTTGAGTGTGGATCGTTTCTCCGGTACTGAGACTGGAGCTGAGGGGACTTCGCTTCTCCCTCTTGTTTGTACCCGGGCTGGTTCAGCTTCACCCTTGGATGAACTTTGTTTGGTGAACTTCGAATTCCACTTTGTTCCTATCCTGTTTCCCTCTTTTCAAGCCCGAGTTGCTGTGTTGATCTCTGAGTCTTAATAGCTCACTCAAGTTAGTATCTAAAACCAAACCCGTTGCCCTAGAGTCGATTCTAACCCATAGCGACCCTATAGGACAGAGTAGAACTGCCCCATAGAGTTTCCAAGGAGCGGCTGGTAGATTTGAACTGCCGACCTGTTGGTTAGTAGCCTGAGCACTTAACCACTGCGCCACCGGGGCTCCGAGTTTGTACCTAAAGATGAATCAATTCTGAAGATAACTGGAGCAACTACGCCGAGTGAAGTAGCAATGAAAAATGACAGGAAGTCCTATGTAAAATGATAAAGAGCTTTGACATATGTAGGAGATTTTTCTTTTCTCTCCTGGAAGGGAAGAATGGCTCCATTGGGGAAGTTTTGTAAAGGTTAGGTTGCAGGCTTAGAATTAAATTCTTTTTCTTCTTTTAATTAGCGCAACTGAGTTGTAGTTTGTTAGAAGTGTCTCAAACGACTGAAGAAGAAACAGTCGTCAAATTATACTTTTTATTGAAATCAGGAAGTGATCCTTCAGAGAATATTTGCTTCAGTTTGTCCTGCGCACCTGAAAGATTTGTTTGGGGCTCTGGAAGGTGGAAAAGAGAATTGAATTCTTGTATACACAAATTTTATTGAAATATCAAAGGATGCTGACATGTTTTTTCTGTAGAATTAGCAACAGTAAATATTTATCTTCAGTAAAATTAATGTCATGCATTTACAATGACCTTTACAAAACAGCCACAGAAATGAGTAAAAGGAGACCATATACTTCACTTTAAAGATGAGAGAGAGAAGGAGAGATGAGAGTATGCCCGCATTTTAAGGAGAAGCCAGGATTTTTTGCTGGGTAACAGCATTTCTCAGAAAAGGATTTTCCTTTGGACAGAATAAAGAGAAATTTGATATTTTTTTCTTATATGGAAAGATTGTGTGCATTTTCAGCATTGTCTTGAAGCTGCCAGAGTATTCAAAAATAATTATTAACAGGTAAAGTTGATAGAGAATTTGCTTTTACAGCTGGTAGGGCATTGAGAAGCTGCTTGCTGAGAAAGGAGTTACT